TTTCAATTTTTGAGTGTAATGTCTTTAACTATATACGATTTGTGATCTCTTGATATATCGTTGAGAAAAATTGGACCAGTGAGAGATGAGAAAAAGTAGTGACAGACACAAAAAAAAAAAAAACACATCATGATAAGATAATACTTTCTTAGCTTTGCATCAAAGCTAAAATTAAATACATAAAAATACTTAAGTAAATGCATACAATTTTATATTTCTTAATTAATTTATAGTATATCAATAAATATTCTAATCTCAAACTCACTCCTTAGAGTAAAAGAACAAAGGAAAAGATCTTTTAAATAACTAAAAACTGCTTGAATTACTAATAAATAAAATAAACACGCTAAAAGCGTGACCAATAGACAATTTCCCTATGATTTTTATTTTTTCCATTGTTAAAATTAACTATAAATATCACATTTACTTTTTATACTATTATGTAGAATGGATTGTAAATATTTTTAATAAAAAGAAAATTAAATTATGTAATTGTATTATTTGACAAAAAATGCAATAACAATTCCTATGAATTTGTAAATAAAAAAATTAATTAAAAAAATTATGCTTTTAGTACTGTGCATATTATTGTTAATTTCGTTTTAATCAAAAAACAATTATGTCACAATTTTAATATTATTTTAATAATTTGAAAATGTTTTTCAAAAAAATGTTACTTTTTTCATTTTTTTAAATTTTTATTAAAAGGGTTACTTAACGAAAAAATAAATTTTAGTTACATATAATTTATTTTTAATATTTAAACAGATAATATCAAAAAACATTAAAATGTGCAATTTTTACAATATTTTACTTTAATCTGATTTTTTACAAATATTATTGAGTGTACAAAAAATTTTTGTAAACACTTATGTTAGTAAATAACAAATTCTACAAAAATTTACTGTTTTGAAAAATCAAAGCTTGTGCCAAAATTTCTAAAAACTAAAAATATTTATATTTTCTCTGAATTTTGACCTTATAACGTGCCCTGCTATGCATGTGACATAGAGCTCGAATTTTGTAGATAGTTTTTTATAAACTCATATGAATAAGTTTCCATGTGGTACTTCTTAAATTTTGAGAAAAAAGACAATATGGACATTAACTAATGTTCATAAGAAGTATTTTATAGTAAATTAAGTACAAAAAATTGACTTAAACTTTCATTTTTAAACAACAACTTGTATAAAAAATTTTTTATAAAAGTTACACTTGATATATCTAACGTGACATATTAAATAAAATTTTCATTTATCGAGATTAAAGTTATCAATTAAGTATTAAAAATGTTAAGCCATTAATAGAATTTACAATCTACCATGAAATGCTCTTACATAGTAGTTTAATTACTTACAATCAAAAATCAGATAATTAAATCGTAGATAAAAATTATCTGCGATTCATATTTTTGGGATTCCACAATAAACTTTTAAAAAATTAGAACATATATTTTATGTATTATATGTTTTTATAAACAATAATTTTAGCATGATAATTTTAGCTTCGATGCAAAGCTGAGAAGGCATTGGTTTTACTATGATGTGTTTTTTTTTTGTGTTTCTTTCAACGATACGTCAAAAGATCACAAATCGTATCTAGTCGAAAACATTATCCTCAAAAGTTGAAAAAATTTCCCTCGTTTCCCGTAAATGGAGGAAACCTCTAAAAAAAATTGCAAATTTAAAAATCGCTAATTTTCGAAATTTTTTCAATTTTTTTTACTTAAAACTACCATAACTTTTTCAAAAATGAACAAATCAATATAAATTTTTTTTATATAGATGCTTGATGTCTTTACCTATCATTTGGTATATTTTTTTTATAAATTTAACCCTTTACCAGTCCACAGGGGTGGATTCAAAATGACAACTTTTTCACAAAAAATTAACTTTTTCAACTTTTTGAAAAATGTATGGATCAATACAATTTTTTTATGAGAAATAATATTTATATACTTCTTTAATTCGACATACTTTTTTTTTAAATCGGATCATTTCCCTTAATACAGGGGGGGTTCAAAACATAAAAATGCATATAGAAAGTAGAACTTTTTCAACTTAATTTTTGAAAGTGTTCCGGAAATACTGACACTTTTATATATATCTTAAATCCAAGTTTATGTAATATACTTTAATATTAAAAAAAAAAATCGAACTTATTTTCGTTTTGATGGTGAAAATGGCTATCAAATGCTATTTTTGTGTGAAAATTCTCGATTTTATTTTTAAAATTTTTAACTTTATAATGCTATAACTTATTGAAAAATGAATGGTTCAATATAATTTTTTTATGAGAAATAATATTTATATCCCTCTTTCATTCGACATACTTTATCTTAATCAGGATATAAATAAATAAATAACTATATGATCTATATAGATTTTGGAATAATCCAACAATTTTTTTTAATTAAACACTATCTAAAGATTTGCATCGAAGCGTTTTATTTTGATAGTGATTTTAATCACTGTCAGATATCATTATACTTGATCCAACTATGCCACATCACCACTGTGCTGCGACCCCCCTGTGCTGGGTTTTTCTTATAGTATATTCATTAACCATTAGAACTAAATATTCATTATGTCCCCTATAAAACAAGAAATAAACCATAAAATTTTTATTTATTTAATTGGTATTTTTTTTTTTTTTTTGTAACTTTGGAGTAATATTTTTTATAGACATTGCTAAGAAAATTTTTTCGAGTAATATTCAATGATAGACGAAAAAATATTTATAAATATTATAATATGTTATGCATGTATTATTTGTATATTATTATAAAATGTTTCTTATGTCTAAGTTTTTATTACATTATTATAAAATCAATTTATACTATCATTGATAATTACTAACTTTTAAGAAGCTCTTTAATGACATCGTGTAATAAGTTATAAGTGTATTCATTTTGAAGATAGAATATGTGGCCACTGCCTTTTCGGAAACACATAAAAGTTGAATATTGTGTAATGAGCACTTAATGTATTATTTAGAGAATGTCATTGATTCCTTATAAACAACGGACTTAATACCATCAATCTTATCGGACAAACTTTTGCAGAAGATTAAAAAAGTAGTTTGTTTATCACATAACACATTACAGTCTTAACGAAGAAAATAGTTTCATTATTTTATTTATCTATTACAAAATAACTTCATCAACTAAGTCTAATAACTATTCATTATACTTAATAATAAAATATCAATAGTTTACAGACTTATTGGCGTGGCATTATAATAATATTATAATTATTTATTTTTACTAAAAATATGAAATTGATTTATAAACATTTTAAATAAATCAAATCCAAATAAATTTGGTTGTAAACATTCGATTTATTCTTATTGTAACAAAATGTAATAAGCACTGATAATGCTATTAATATTAATAGGTTAGTATGATTACACAAGATCGATATGAATAAGGAGTCTTTAAATTTTTCTAAACAAAAAGAGCACAATTGAATATAAAATGTTCATAACATGAAATTAAAATGTTCACTATATTAAATTACAGACAAAATATTAATGGTAAAGTATAATGATACACGAATATTGTATACAAAATATAGCTTATGATTACATATGATGATGCATAAAATAATTTAATTTAATTAAAATCATTTTATAGAGTACAGTTAATTTTTTAGAATAATCAATATGAGATACAATAAACATTCAATCTAATTAAAATTAATATTTATAGGACACCACGTAAGTAGTGTACAAAATATGTATATTCATATTCAGAAACTGTTTTTTTTTAATTAAGGGCTTAGTAATTTTGATTTATTTTAAAGCGAAATTGGATCGCCTACTACACTTCTTCTATCAGTCATAAACTATAAACTCATTTAACATGCAATCTGACATTCTTGTAAACTAATAAAATACAAATTATAATTGGTTTTATTTATAACAACTGAAAAAATGTTTAACACAAAAATTACTTTCAATTATTAGTACCTTTATTTCTTTAATATAATTATACTCATCATAAATGAGCATATCCTTGTACTTGTAGCTTTATAATATTTTAAAATCCGAGTTAAAGTTTCCACAGCAGTTGTCTGTCTTAAAGGATATTATACAATGAGTTTATTTCCTAATATTATCTCATCTTTTATAAAGTTTCAATCTTAGAAAATGTATTAAGAAGTTAATGTATGTTTGAATAAAACAAAATTAATATTACCTATTTTTAATGTTATTATTCTTATACAATTATTTATATTATACTAAAAATTCTTATTAACATAACCTTTTTATAAATAATACAATAAATATTGAAAATAATGAGACATTTAGTGACTACAAACTAATAATATTTAATAAATTGGTTTATCTATATTACTGAATTTTTCTTTATGAAATATTAAAAAAAATTATTACAAAGCTCATAATATATTATTAGTGTGCCTTTGAAACCTTAATTATACTAAAATTTGACTTTGATAATGTGTCAAAAATCAATTTTTTGTTGTTTTTAAAATTTATGGTCAAATTTTTAGTTTTGTTGAGGTTTTAAAAGCGATTTCATAATACTTCCAGTTTTTATAATTATTAATCATATAGGTACCAAAATCCCATATAGGAGGTCAATATACCTACTAGAAATAGTAAATATATTTGAAAAATCGAAATCATTTCAATGCCTAGTCCTGATTTAGAATTTTTTTTAGATACTTATACTTATAATAGTAGAAAAATGGTTGAAATCATTCTGTGATATTTAAAAGAAAAAAGTTTTTCTAGAGCTTTAGTAACTAGTGAAAACCTTATAAACTCTAGAAAAACTTTTTTAAGTACAATTTTTTTCTAAATATAACTATTGAACTCGGCTAGCGGCATTAGATGACTCCATTATCACATTACTATCTGAATCAGAATTCTTCAATACATGTACAAAATTGTAGTAGGAGTAGTAAATAGTATGAACTGAGAGAGTGGGGCTCATCTGTAACGCATGAAACTTCAGTGGTATAGAAAGCGTTCAAATAACTAAGCACGTATAACGGCAGCAGCCGTAATCATTGCCGCAGCCATTCCTGTTTGGTTAGTGCTTGGTAATATCGTGAAACGCGCAGTAGTGTAGTTCATCGCTTTATAGTTCTTTATTCAATATGGCCGACATACCGCGATACGACCAACGATAGTGCACTAAACCTTCGCGATTATTGAGTGTGTGCTTAAATTCATGTACTGGAGTATCTTACCAAAATAGTGTAAAAGACAAATGTACTTTCAGAGATTTTAACGGTCGTCTACATTCCGTGTGAACTGATTACGTGTGTACCCGTTATGGTGTGCTCGAAGAATTGCAGCTCGATACGGGAATATTGTAAGGCAATGCGATGAGGAACACTGTTGTCACAGCGACTACGGTTAAATGGATACCGGCAATTATCATCTTTTCTGTAGTGGTCTTCTCTAAGACATGTAAGTCATAATTGCGTATCATTTTGCTCTATTAGAAATCTTGTATGATTAATAGCAATCGAAGAGTGCACATGTATTCTTCAGCCTCACGATTTCACTAGCGTCCTACGTATCAAACTCTTGTGGGACATCATAAAGTAATATCAATCGTGAGAATTTCCAGAAGCATTTGAATTTAACTATTGATTTGAAACTATTCGAAAATTTTCACTTTATATATGAAATGATTACAGTTTTATCGAAATAGAAAAAGCAATAATTAGTGAACAATTAAAATAGTAGTACATTATATATTTCCGTTCATATTTTTCAATATTATTCCCATTAGTGTTTAGATTTCAGTTACATTATTTTATTTTTGATAAAAAATAGGAATCCTAAAAAAAATATTTATCCAGTTGAAGAACTTTTAGTTGCTGTATTATTATTTAAAATTGAATAACTACCGATTGATGAAAAGGAGGTTTTAGTTAAAAATAATTGCGTTTTTTTTAAATCAAACGTTTTGATCATGATTTGAGCCATAATCGAAGTTTTCATAATCGATAATTTTTCTTTGATCTAAGAAAAAAACAAGTTAATTTTTTTTCATATGGTATGTAGCACCATCAAAGTAAGAATATATATATATTATAGTCAATTCGGTCATGTTTAATCCAATAAATACGATTTCAAACATATATTTTTTCTTATATTATATTAAAATGTTCAGCTGCAGATGTAAAGATCAATTACATTTACAACTAAATTAAAACTAGTATTATCTCTAATAATGAATACCTTTCTCTTTTTTTTAATGGTTCAGTTATTTTTAACTTGTTCTATTATATTTTGTTTGATAAAAACTGGTTAAGTTGTTGAAAATATCAATCATATTTAAAATCTAAGTTTCTGTAACATCATTAAATACTAAATATTTAATAATATTTTTCAAGAGCGAAGGAGATGTGGTATATGGTTATAGTCTCCGTGGTCGAATGAACCCGAGAATATACTGAAATTATTCCAAGCGAAGAAAATTATCTACCCATCAGTTAAAATAATATGCTTTAATAAAAAAACTTGTATCTCTTGAAAGAATTAAAAAACTAAATAGTTTTATCTTTTCTTTAATAAAGGAAATTGTATCCTTTTAATTTGTCTTTGTCTCTACAACAATATACTCCTAGAGCTTCATCATTGAGAATGAAAATCGACAACAAATGTTGGGAATAGCAAAACAGTCAACTTGTTATTAAATAATAAATCGCACAAGTATAATTCGAATAATTATTATTTACAGGCAATATGTCCGGGTTAATATATTTATTTTAATACAATGTTGTTACTTGTTATCATTTATAAAGTTGTCAAGGTGAACGCCATCGCACCCGGTACTTCTTATACAATCACACTTCTTACGTTGAAAGATTGAGAGGGGATTACCATCACAACTTTCTCAAAAACATATATTTCCGAAGGATAAGCTAATGATTAAGTATATTTTTGTACAATACAATTATGTAATGATATTTTTGTCAACAATCTGACTTTTAGAATATTTTAAAGACAAATCGACATNATATATATTTTTGTACAATACAATTATGTAATGATATTTTTGTCAACAATCTGACTTTTAGAATATTTTAAAGACAAATCGACATTGTAATTTATAATTAATAGTTTAATTTCAAAATGAAATAATATAAGCTTTAGAAAGGAACTGAAATGTATCAGGATTAAGAACCGAATTTTTGGGTAAATTTGAATAAAAATGTCACTTTATGTCTCAAAATTCGTTGTCTAATCTATGATTCTTAAAATTAAATCTCCATTCAGAAGTGATGATTTTATCAAAGCTTCTGTCTATATATCATTTAAAGAAGTTAAAAATAAAAATAATATATTTAGAATCTTCAGGAAATAAATTAAGAATTTTATGAGATATTAATATCAGAGTGATTACTAAATACAATCCCGGAAAATTAAAATTTAGACATTTTATATTCTTATTAGACTAAATTGTTAATTCAAAAACTATATTATGATTCTAATCAACGGTAAGTTATAATTATTTTTGATATATTATCAATTCATAAACTCTATTAAGGAATTACTTTTATTATATGAATTATCATAGATTGTTTTTAAATACATCGAAAAGAAACATATATTATTCAAGTATACAATTAGTATAAGGATACTGAATAAAAAAAATGTTAAAAAAAAAGAAACATATTTAATATAATATATCTTGATAACTCAATTCCATAAAAAAATGATGAGATTCCCTTCATATTTATTAAATTATTAAATAAATATTGCACTTTCTTTATATTCGGCATGTTTAATACGACTTTAATAGAGATATCCTTAAAATATCTTATTATTTAAAAAAAATCATATAACTGTTAATCTTTTAGATGTAGTTGAAACTTTTTAAAGTGTAATAAATTGTCATTTATAACACATATGGTTTACAAATTAAAAACTGACTCCAATTATATGTAATGAGAAATTGTAATATAACTTGAACAAACAATGTAATAAAATATTAACTAATGTAGTTAAAACTAATAAAATCTAATTATTATGCTATTCATGATTGTGTACACTATCGTATTACATTTTAAACCATATTAAATTTACCGTTCTAACAATGTTTACCATATGTTGGCTAGCAATGAAAACTTTTTCACATGATATATTTCTAATTTGTTGTAACTTATTTTAATTTAAATCGTTTAATACTAATAATATATTATTTGGAAATATATTTTTTTTGAACAAATATAAGAGAATAACCCTGTTTATGAATCCTGTTAAAATAGTTATTTTGAATAATTTATAAACGAGTTAATTTAATATTAAATGATACAGTTACACTGAAGTGTTTATTCATTATTCAAAAATTGAAACTTTTTTATTACATGAAAATTTTCCATAATTTAGAATTAGTAAGAATTATACTTGAGAACTGGATAATTTTATTTAATACCGGAAACTAGTCATATATTTTGGTTCTATATTAATAACACTAGTTAATATTGTTAAGAAATTAAATTAACAATAATTAATACAAAATTATAAAAGTTTATAATCTTGTGGCAATTTTCAGACAGATATTATAATCTTTATATTTATGTACAATTCGAAATGTTTTTTATTTTAAAAATAAATTAATGATTTTTTTTATTGACTCCAGTTTGACACATATTATGAAAAAAATCTAACTAAATGAAAAAAAAATAAACTTTTTTTAAATTTATTTTTGTTACTTTAGCAAGCTTCTAAAAATTCAAAAATAACTTCAAACATATTGCAAGAGAAAAAATTACATTTCGAACATACATCAAAAATGTCAATAATGATAGAGTTAAATAAAAAAAAAAGTGAAATTTCATTTTGAAATTTTACAATAAAAATTTTCATTTGTTTTTAAAAGTAACATATAGTAGTATCGCGTACGTGTGAATATGTAGGCGACAAGACTGCACTAGTAAATTGTAAAATGTTAATACGTGAAAGTTTCTCTTTAACGGTATATTTTACTCTACGTTTCCCAATCAGAAAGCATAACTGCAGGTTTATTTTTTATTTATTAAATAGTAGCGGGCGTGTTATGCTAATATATCAGCTATTATAGTATTCTGTAATTGTTGTCTATAGTTATATTGTATTACCATCACGTGTAATAAATCGAAATAAATAAATAGTTAAGGGTACAATTAAAGGTCTAATAAATGATCTATCTAAGAAAATGACTGGTCAACTTTTGGACTAGTGTTTTAAAGGATATTAACATTTGTATAACAAGGTGAGAGGATTAGTACGGTTTATTAATGCTTTAAGGTAAAAATATACAGATGCACTTTCCACCAGTTTTATATTAAAAAGTTAATAACTTCCAAATGTTCGATAAATAATTTTCTTGTCGCCACTAATATGTCACATATTATGAATTTCATAATATGTGACATACGTGTAACATCATATTTTATGGTAATACTGTTAATGATAACATATTATACACGTGAATATTTTTGGTCGACTTATTTTCTGATGAATCACATTTAGATCACTTAGCAGAAGAATAGCAATGCGAAATACACTCTTAAAAGTTATTCACCTAAAACTTCTAATGAAAAAGTATATTTTCTAACAATTTAGATTACTGTTGTTTCTATTATAGTATTGTAAAGATAATGTTTACTAATAAATATAATTATAAATGATATATGAGACAGGTAATTTTTCAAATACTTAGGTGATTCTGAACACAATGACTATACTTTTTAAACAAGATTGATTTATATCCATAAAAAAATTCTACCATCTACAGTTATAGTTATTTTATACAGAGTGATTCGATTTCTTTTAAAATAATAATTATGTTGTGTAAATTCTTTTTGGTATATTTAGTTCATATATTTCTCGATTTATTAATTTTTAAATAACTTCTTAATTTATCCCTTATACCAGAAGACACCCAATAGCGGCTCATGGACCAATTTTACACAGTACGCAGACATTTTATAATAATTCTTAGCATGTCCTATTTATATTAGATACACGTGCTTTGAACTTTGATGACCTGCGAAAAATTTCCACATTCCTAATGTGGCCCTACAAAAGTAATAATTAGTGACTTAATAATTAATAAATCAAAAATTATATGAAACTAATAAATATCAAAAGAATTTGCATAAGGTAATTATTGTTTTTAGAGAATCGAGTGGCTAATATTAAAAAAATCACTATACAGAACCTATATAGAAATATTTTATGAATTTATATATATATATATATATAATTTTGATAAATGTATTAAATTCAATTAAGTTATATTTTGTTAAATATTTGAATAACATTGAATAAATTACATAATTTGGACGATTACATAATATTATTATTATTATTGTAAGATGTTAACAATTGATAGGTGATATTATGTTATAAGAAGATAAAAAAAAATATATATTTCCTTTGTTTAAAATGTTTTTGCTCTTTTCATTCATAGAAGACAGACAACAATAAACAACAGGCTTTTCTCACTATGTGTGTTACTCAGTCTTATAATTGCGAAAATTATTTTTTTCGGATAATGAACAATTCATTGTCACATTTACTAAGTTTAGGTTAAACTTTTTTTTCAATAAACATTTTTAGTTAATAGGAGAAAAAAAGTAATTTCTCACTTACTTTGTTCGATTTTTGTTGAGATCGTCATCATTTCTCGTCTACATCGAAAGCGTAAAATTCAAAGACACATTACTGTTGCTGTCAGTCTGATTTGTTATGGTTCACGTGTTATTTACAAACCGAGTTCTAATGTTACCGCATCTAAAATTTAAAAACTCAGTAATTTACTACTGACGCAAACATTTTTTTTTTTAATGAAAATTACTAATCTTATGTTATCAATTTGTTTTAATATATTTTATTAACGTTATTTATATATTTTCAGGTCTCTGTGATTTATCCAGTGGTAGTCCACCAATAATATGGGTTGACCGTAATTGGGTGGTGGACTCAACAGCTCCTATAGGAACCGTTGTGGCCCGTGTACGTGTTTCAGACAGTGGTAGTGAAACTTTACAATTTGGCTTAGAACATTCAACGGGATTCAACATCATCCAAGAAAATGAAGAACCGTTGCCATTTGTCATTGACAACAATGGGAAAGTGACCACCAATACTTCTTTGACCAATAAGGTAATTTTGAAATATATTTAAAATTAATAAAATTCTAAAAATTTATAAATTTTTAAAAATCAATCAAGTAAAAAAAAAAGTTTTATTGAAAAAATATATAAAATATATAGTATTCTGATAGGATAGCCAATTCAAATTATAACTAAAAAAAAAGGTGAAAGTACCTAATATTTTATTTTTCCATAACAGTTTTAACAGAAACCGTTTGTTATATTATGCAGTTATGGTACTACATCGTGACTGGTCACGCGTAATAATGGAATTGTATGACGTGGAATAAGAAGATTTTGTGAAAAAATTAATTCATTTTTAATCTCACACATATTTTTAATATATCAAAAATAAATATACTATTAAATGAAATATCTATGAATACCAAAATTAAATTATTATATTATTTGATCACAGGTCTAAAATTAATATCTTGTTACACTTTGTTTTTTCGGGAAATGACAGTTTTCCTTACTTTTGTCTGAATAAAATTGCATTAAATATAAGTTAAAATTAAAAAAACTGAATATATCAATTTTTTTAAACTAATATGGGACTATAAAAGCGTATTATCTTCGAATACATAAAAATTTTAAACTTCAATTATTAAAGCTTCAATAAAGTACTTCCGTTATTAAACCACTATTTATATCAAAAGATTTATTCGCAAAGATTTGTTTACAATAATTATAGTAATTAATCGATCTTTCATGTATCGATACATCGATGAATTTTACTTTAACGTGATTTTTTTATATTATATATTGAATTTTTTTTTAGGAAGGAAAAAATATTTATTTATTTGTGACGGTAAATAACGGAGCTTTAACATCAAAAACACAAGTGTGGGCTAAAATTGAAGGACCAGGAAGTGGTGGGAAAAAAAATAATAATCAACCAACCAACTTTTTGTCATCACAGTTTCGACCGCCTCCTCCAATAAATGGAGGTTTTCCAGTAAATATACCCTCACAAAATAAACCTCCTCCTCCAAGTCCTTCTAGAACGACTCCGCCTAGGTTAACGGCAATTACATCGTCAACTACTAAAGTTCCTACGACACAGAAGACGTCTGTTGCCACACAAACTTCTGTATCAACCCAAACATCTATTTCTGATGAAACGACTCCGACTTTGGTTATAACAACTACACCTAGTATTTCATCAATTGACCAACAATCAAAGGATACATTAAAAAAGTTAACTGATGCAGTTCTCACTCCACCAACTGTTACTACTCAAGAGCCAGTTCAAAGCAATTTTATTCTTGCGCTTGTTCCAATAGTTGTTGCAACTATTTTCTTAACAGCTGCTGGTGTAGTAGCCTGTATGTTTCGTAAAAGACTGTTCACGACCAAAGTCAAAACTAAAAAAGCAAATTCCATCGTAAGTAAAATATATTAATATTAAAATATATTGTTTTATTCTAATTATACTTTGTTCTAATCAGGCTAAAATAAATAGTTCAAGATCAGATGATCCTATGGTTTTGCACCACTGGAGTGGGCCTAGGGCTTTCACTAGGTATGAAAGCTGGGGTTCTGATCCAGGTCACGGTCAATACAACAAAGACACGGGGCTCAAAGATGGTGTCTCTGACGATCCATGGGAAATTCCAAGACATCATATAAAAGTGTGCTCAATACTGGGAGAAGGTAGTTTCGGTCAAGTATGGAAGTGCGAAGCATACAACATTAATGGTATAATAACTTTGAAAAATGTTGTCATTATTTGTATATAAAACTTAAAAATAATTCATTTTTTAAGGATGCAAAAGTAACACTATTGTAGCTGTCAAAACACTTAAAGATAATGCAGGTGAACGTGAAAGGCTCGATCTAGTACAAGAACTTCAAGTTATGAAATCATTAGAACCTCATCCTCATGTTGTAAAACTTTTAGGGTGCTGTTCTGAAAGAGGTATAATATTTCATGATATCTTATTAAGTACAATGTTTAAATGAATCAATAAATATTTTAGAACCATTGTTCGTTATTATGGAATATGCAAAACTTGGTAAACTCCAAAGCGTGCTGAGAAATTCCCGTGGCGTTACTTATTACACAAACACACATGGATCGAGTATATTAACATCACACGAACTCATCATGTTCTGTTATCAGATCGCTAAAGGAATGGATTTCTTGTCTTCAAAAGGGGTATGCTTATTATAGATAAATACAATAACGTAAATAAATTATTGCGACAGAAAAATTGTTCATTTCTTCTGAATAATTGATCTAAAAAAACAATTAAATTTATATATTTGATTTAGCTATTCCTAAAAATGTATTCAACTGTTTAGACAACACCAAATTATATGGAAATAAAACAACCATCAATTTCGCAGATTAATACGACTCACTATCAACAATAACTCTTTTTTTTTAACAGATAAAACTTAATCAAATTTTTATTGATTTCAAACGACAAAGAGTCGAAATGCCCCACTAACCTTAGTTCTAATAGATATCTGAACTTAATCATAACAAATGCCTTTATACACCACCGGTTAATCGTATTTGATTCAAAAGAAAACACATAACTCCGATTTAAAAATTAGTACATTATGAGATTTTGTACAACTAAATAATCATTAAAATAAATATTTTAACAAGCATTATGTACTTAGGTTTTCTATTATAATTAGCTATTATTACAAAACGACTGATCAAAGTAATCAAAATCACTAAAAAAATAACTTATATAAATATGAGATACTCAATTGTAAGCTTTTGTACAATTCTTTCTCTTTCTAATTTTATGAATTATTATCTTTTTGGGGAAATCACTGAATAGTGAGGGCAACGTCCGAATAACACCGCCAACAATTCGATTGTACGCTGTTTTGGCGGATGCCCACTCCGATAGTTGAGAGACGAAACACCTAAAATTTCCAAGCGTAACGAAAAATGTGAGAGGTCGTAAACCTTCTCAACGATTACACATAAACAAATGCACTTAATAAATATCCGTTGCAATGGATTAATGTGTGAATTTTATAAGAATTATTAAAATAATTAGAAACATTCATTGGGTATCCACAATAGCGTAAAATTAATCTTGAAACACATAGAATCTATTTTTTCTTAATTTTTAAAGTTTTGCCTATCGAGTATTTTTTAAAAATGAAAGCTAATTTACAACCACGAGAAATGTTTGAATCGTATAAATAAGAAAAGTAATTTTTTTTTCTTTAACAAAAGATGGATTCATTGTCACAAATTTTACTTTATAGATTATACACCGAGATTTAGCAGCAAGGAACATTTTAGTTACTGAAGATAGAACATGTAAAATATCAGACTTTGGTTTTGCTAGAGACGTTGCATCGAGTCGAGTATACGAACGTAAGTCGGAGGGCCGATTACCTATCAGATGGATGGCACCCGAGTCGCTTTTTGACAACATGTATTCAGCTAAGTCAGATGTTTGGTCTTTCGGAGTGCTCATGTGGGAGATTGTGACACTAGGATCAACACCATATCCAGGTATGGCTGCTGCTGACGTTATGAAGCGTATCAGGGATGGTTACCGGTTAGAAAAACCACAACACTGTCGACGTGAAGTATACAACATAATGTTCTATTGCTGGGACAAGTGTGCAGACGAGAGGCCAGATTTCCACGAGTTACTTGATCTACTCGATAAACTCTTGATCACTGAAACAGACTACATTCAACTGGACAGGTTTCCGGATAACGCGTACTACAATATCACGACGTGTATAAGTGGCGAACGACTGTAAAAAAATTATATTTATTATGATTGACAACGATATACTTTTAATAACAACAATTGTACAGCAAGTATTTAACAAGAAAAAAATACTCTATAATAGTTGTTTTTGCATTAAAACAGTTATATATATGTACTACCTAGCTATACTGTGTATTTTTTTATGCCAAAATGTTTTGTATTTATGTCAATAATTTGTAAATATTGAAATGTATTAAACATAAATCAAATGTACAAAATTTTATATATTAAACCTACACAATTGTAGCTACATAGATTTATAAAACTATCATTATGATTAATTTATTATTTATGCTTGGTACCTTTTATATATTTTTAAAAAACAATGTATAGCTCATATTTTATTTGTAATTAAATAGTAAGTCACTAGTCTTTTTTGATCATTTGTAATGATCGTGTGCCTTTTTATTTATGCTAAGTTTTTTAACTATGATTTCATTTATTGTAATAAATTGTTAGAATTATTGTACTATATAATTGTATTATATATATATTATTAGATAATATAAAACGGTTTAATACCAAATACATACATGTACATTGCGTAAGTAAATTGATCCAAATTATTTTCATTACAATTTTTCAAAATAAATAATAAAATTATTTCAAAAGTTATCTTTTGAATAATATATTATAAAAGCAGAGATATTTTTCAAAGATGATATCTAAATTTTCTCAATCCTACTTCAAGGCCCAACATTTTTATTACTAGTAAAATATATTAGTTTTATAAAACATAAAGCAAATAATATTTATTTAATTGAAGCTATAAAATGTGTATAAAAATTACCTTACCTTAAAAGTACGTCTAACTTGGATCCTTTAAATAGGTGCAACTATAACAAAAAATTTTAAGGAGCTAAAGTGTTTTTTTTCTATTCTAAAAATATGTTTATATATCAACAAGTATGATTATCATCATTTCCTTAGCTTCTATTCCAAATATTTAGGGTCAGCCATACTATGATTTGACAGGATTTTTATATCGGCTGTCGACCTGATCCAACCGCATTACTAAGAGAACGATATCAAATATAATTTTTTTAATTTTCTTGGGGAAGGGCATTTAAACTCCCACCAGAAAACCCTACTTATTTGGAAAAGCTAACCAAAAATTTTAATTTGTATTAAAAGTTATAATATATATTATATGGTGTAATAATACTGAAAATACTTATTTTTTTACTTTACTAAAATAAAAAAATTAGCATAACTAGTGAACTATTAAAAAGAAAGTTCTTCAATTCATTGAAAAGTGTTCACTCTCTCTTTGAATACGTTTATTATGAAAAATGGATAATCGAATTTTAATATGTTTTAAAAATTTAATACTAAATTCATTTTAAATAAATATTCATTTCTATTGCTTCATTAACATTAAAAATAAATCAACTTAAAAAAAAATGCTTAGATGAATGAGTGGAGTGACTAGAGAAGATAGGATAAGAAACGAATATGTAAGGATAAGATGTCAGAAAATAGACTTAGATGGTTTGGTCATTTTATGAATAGAGAGGAATCGGAAGCTGTAAGAACAGTTTTAGAAATGAATGTTGAATGAAAAATTGGTAGAGTAAGACTAAAAAAGAGATAGAGGGATGTTATTGAAGCGATATGAGGACGGCTGATGTGAGCGTAGATGATGTGGGAGATCGTGTGTAGTGAAAATTTATGATAAGGTTGGATGGCTCTAAATATTTGGGATTAAGACGAGGAAAAACAAGAGGAGGAGAACTTAAAAAACTTCTTTAAGTTTTCTAAGTCTATTTAAAACTTAATTTGTATATTTTAAAAGAATCAGGATTATCATCGCCTTAATTGTAATTTTTATCCTTTTGTCATTCAAATATTTTATATTAAATTTGGTTTGATTAACCAATTCATATTTTAAAATTTTAACTTGTCATTCATAACCTTGGTCGTGCGAAAAAAAATACACAATCGACGAGGCTTTAGCGAAAAATTGTCATTTAATTGAATTATCGCCTATGAATATTAATTAAACAACCAAAATTACTATTCCACTGACTATAATATGATCATTAAATATTTTTTATTAAAATTTTTTTCTAAAAAAAATTTCTATGGGCGTCACTGAACCTTATAAAATAATATTTAATATTTTTATAATTAATATTAATTAAATTAAAATCAGTTATTTGTTAGAATTTGAACTGATCATTTAAATAATTAAAGTAAAATTAACTAAAATTGTATTAGTAAAGAATTATAGGTATTGATAATTCTTAAATTATAAAACTTATTCCAGCCAAAATGTTTAGGTTTTTTTAATTAATCAAACATTAGTTATATTTATTATATGTTGTGCATAATTATAATTAGGGTTTAGGTAACCTTAAAACTTTCATTAATTATATTGATCAGTTTAATTTACTCAGTAAAATTTTTCGTGTAATGATTTTATATGTGCACTTTGATTTTTCATAAAATAAATTATATAATTAACTGATAGATTGTGACATAAACTGCTCAGTAAACTTGAAGCAATAAAATTAAATGTGAACTAATTTTTATTATTGAATGCGTAGTACTTCAAATAAAAAAACACCTGCATCGTTTATTTTATGTCAAAAATAAGGCTTATTTAAGGTATAAAAGGTATAACAGTATAATAATATTTTTACAAATAAAGATAAAAAAATTGAATTGTTTATTTTTCTGAAATAAAGATTTTTTAATTGTCTATAAAATGTTGGTACTAGAAATACTTGTTCTATATTTGATGTCAAAAATAAGATATTCTAATACTTTTAATATAAGTGAAAATTATGAGGTAATATATTCTCCAAAAATTATTTATTTTATACATTTTTGTAACATTAAAATTAATATGTGTTTAGAAAAATCTATGAAACCTAAAATTAAAAGATAAATATTTTAAACATACAGAATTTAAATTAATCATTTTTATAAGATAGGATTTTAAAAAAATAGTAAAAAACAAATAATAATATAAATAAATCTTACACTATATAATTTATATATATATATATATATATTATTATGGTTTTTAATTTAAAATAGCTCATAAAATAGAAAAATTAGTTTTTTTTAAATATTATTTTGATCTAATACTGATTAGTAATTGTCAGTTATGACCTGAAAAAATAGTTCAATTTTAACATAATAGCTTGCTTTTTGTTCAAATAACGAAAATACAAAAAAAAATCAATGTGTATATTTTATTGATAAGTGCACTTATCATGGACAACATTAACAAGAAATATTCTCTTACTTATGTGTATTTGAAAAATATTTTTGTAATATAAACAACTCTTTAATTATAGTAAATACATATAATCAGGGTAGTATTGGTTAACAATTCATTTCATTTTGGAAAAATTTGAATTAAAGTGCTTATATAGATTTAATAACGAATATTATAATTTATAAATATAAAAAAATTAAATGGATTATAGATCGATTTCGGTTTTCTTTTTTTTATATTGAATTTATTATATCACTAATATAATCAGTCCGATTGATAATTCACCCATATACACATTTATACTTATTATTATCAATTAATATATCTTTTACAACATTATGTCTTATTTTACTCTAGTAAATGTTTTTTCTTGTTTCAAAAATGGCATCTATTTTATTTTTTCAGATAAATAATAACTTAAGAAAATTGTAATGTTAAAAACTACACCTATTAAATTTTTGAAGTTTGATTAATTTGTTTATACTTTATTAGGATGTGCAAGCATATAAGAGTTTTATTAGAGTATTTAATGAAATCCCAACTTTAAGCAATTTACCTCAAAAAGCAATTTTGGATGTACATATTGATCAATTTTTATTTTCTAATTCTCAGGAAGAAATAACTGCTATTGAGACTGAAATAAGAAACTCAAATAGCTTTATACAAAAAATCAACTGTTTAAAATGTTCTTATGGATATGTAATTCTTAAAATGTTACATTATTTGGAAATAGTTAAACCTTTTTGTGATTCTATTATCAAAAATTATAACATCTATATCTGGCGAATGTTATCAGTGCTATATATTGGTAAAATTACTACTCCCCCAACACTATTGGATACAGCTATTGAGATAAGTTCAATAAGAGAGGGTAAAAGTTTAAATAGATTGTTTGACAACAAAATAATGGGTAATCTAAAGAGTTATTTATGTGATTGTATTGCAAAATTTTACTTGCCATTTATATTAACGGATAATTTATCATCCGTTAACAAATTTTCTTTCATAAGTCTTAGAAAAAACATTGAAAAATTGTTAGACAATTTGAAACTAATCGAAGGTAACGATTTAGAATACTCGGGTATTTATAGGTATGGACCCGAGTTAGACATTTTTAGCTTTTTCCAAAACAATTTAAATCGTCATAAAGCACTCTTACCTCCGGGACAGTTTTGCAAGCATAATTTTTACGACCAAACAGAATTTTGGGATGTACTTTCGGAATGTATAGAAACAGTTAAAAAAAAATGGGCAACCAATTACTCAGCTATTTTCCAGTACACAAAATTTCTTAAGAATACATTGTTAATGATAATGTCTTTTGTAGTGTTGCAAAATTGTTTTTACATTCAAAACGTGTGGTTTGAAAAATCCAAAAAATTATATTCATCCCCAAACAATATAGAACAATTGAGAAAATCAATAGAAGATTTATTACAGCCATTAATGAAAACAATTAACGAAATCTGTCAAATATTAGATATTGAAAACGATCAATATTTTAAAAATATTGAAACTCATTGGAAATTAGACAAAAACGATACAAAACAAAATTTTGAACATTTTGTATTAAGTACGTTAAGAATTCATCAATCAAACTTCATAAATTTAGGTTTAAAATCAAATCCAATTATACTTAAAGAAAAAAACACTATTAATAGTGCACAAGAAATAAAAAACCTAAACCTTTTATTAGATAACTATAAAAAGATATTCAAAAAATGTTTAATGCCATTTGATTTTAAAAAAATTAATTATTTACAGCAATGTTTTTATGAAAATTACCTATCTTTTTAAATACTTTTTTTTTTAGCTTTTTAAATAATTTTTAGCTCTTATAACGTTGATCAATATATTTTAATTTGAGTATTTCATTATTTTAAAAAGATTGATGTGTAAATTTTGTGAATAAAAAAAAATTATTCATTGTAAATTTTAATTTCAATTTTACGATATTATTATATCTTAAAAGAAAAAATTATCAATACTGATTAAAAATACAATTCAGTTACCTGCACATATTTGTTTCTTTATCTTAGCAATTAAAATTTAAAATTTAATTGATAAAAAGGAAGAATAAATGCTAATATTAGATTTTTAATAACTATTTTAATTACGATGGCTGTTTTATTTTTTTGATTTATCTAAAAATGCTATAACAATTCATTGACTGATAATTTCATAACACAGATATGCTCATCATAATCATAATTATTAATAATTATAGAGTTATTAAATATGAACTGTAAAATATTAAAATTAGCAATTAAATAAACAATTTACTTAAAAAAATCTAAATTGGTTATTTTTTACAAATGTTATCAACATCTTGTAAATTCAATACTAATTCTCACTATCAAATTCTTAATATAAAAAAATGAGAAATATTTTTATTCGTGTTTTTCTTTTAATTATTTATTAATCATCGCTCACATCAATAATATTTTACTTTAATGTGTAAGAATTTATTAGGAAAGGGCCATGAATTTTTCGATCATTTGTATTATCGTTGGGCGTGTTCAAAACATTTAAGATGAATCATCATTCATCTCGTATTTATTTACACACAGGGTCATATAGGTAATATAACTTATTAATGTATGCACATTATTGACAAAACATGCGCATTATTAGGCGATGTTCAAAACATCTATACATTTTTTATGTTGAATATTGAGGAATCAGTGTAATATGGGAAAATATTCTAAGAAGTAGCTAGTTTAAGTTTTTTTTTATATAGAGAGGAGATAATACATGAGTTTTATTTTATCACGGAGGCTTTAAATTTCCCTAACCCTTAAAGTTTCCTTAATTTAAAAATTAAAATAATCTTAACATGTTAATTTTTATTTGTATGTTAATATTCATAGTCATTGAGCTGTAATTTTTATATAAATAAAAATTAAAGAACAAATGCCTAAGCTTGTTTTGGAAAAATAATCAGAGTTTTGGCAAAAGTAGATTTGCAATAATTATGTTTATAGTTATTGGTCTATCTGTATAAAGCAATCTATTTTATTAAAATTCCTCATGGATAAATACGTTTAGCAAAAAATATTGGAAGAAACATAAATATTCATGTATATTAATTTTTTCTTATTGGCTATTTTTAGCAAAAGCTTCCTCAATAAAAAATTGTTTTGACTGAAATTATAAAAAATTTACCATTTCAACGGAACATCCCGACTGAAGACGTACCCAAGAACTTTCCGAAGCAACATAATGTTATCATCTCTAAAAATAGAATATTTTCAAACGGTAATTTTAATATGTTTGAAGACCTAATTCATCTTTCTAATGATTTGATAAAAGGTCTTCATACCAAAACTCGGAATCGCTCCTCCTGACCTACCACCAAAATACTTCCTAGTCTCGTCGCTGTTCTTTGAAAGTAAAAGCCCACTTTAATACCCCTGAAAAACTACAGTAGAATGATCTTACTTTTAAAATGCGTATTGTTTATCGCAAATAAAGAAGAAACTGATTTAAATGGATATCGCAATGGACGATCACATTTTTGAATCAGCAGAAGATATTTTTCACGCCTATATAAGTCCTACGTTTTGTTTCAACGCGACGAGTGTGCGACTTGTGAGACTAGTCGCGGCTGCACGTCAATACGGTAAAAGTAGTGCCGCCAGTGACTCACGGTGCCTATCGTGTACAGTTTAAACATTCGTAAGGCGTCCGCATCGCACCCACCGTTTTTGACCTAAGGTCGCAACCACTATGAACAATCCCACCACGCGCACTCGTGTTCGTCGTCGTCACCACTTCAACGAACGTCTCACGGCTAACGTGCCTGTCCAATGCCACCAACCGAAAAACACAACATTACGGGTATTTGTGATGTGATTACATTTATATTAAATTAAAAAATACATTTAGAAATCCTTAAATGTCGGTTGTCGGGTGACCTAGGAAATATTTGCGAAGATAAAGTAAATACTTTCGATAGAAATTTCAAAAATCTTTTAATTTCATGTGGCATTAAATCGCTTGTTCGTCGGTCACGTTGGTTCCGTCGTCGTATTGTTATCATAACTTCCAATTTTGTGATTTGTAATTACTTATTATTATTATTTTTTTGCGACCATGATCTCATCGTCGTTATAGCACGTCGATTTACCAGTAGGTAAGCAAAATACGGACGTTTCAGACCGCTATTTCCCATGTTCGACAACGACAAATGATCAGAACATTTGATTGGTGCATCCCACAAAAAAATGGGTAAGTCAAAATTGATAAGTTAAAATAAACACTTTATTATTACTTCTTAGAAAACCCATCGGAAGTCATATTTTAGCTGCTATTATTGCATTTACTTATCTATTTGTAATGTCAATTTTCAGGTTCATTCACTGTTAATTGAATTATAATGGTTTTTATATATTATTTTAATATATTTTCAATCAAAGAAAGTCGTTATACACATTTAAATAATGTATTAAATTTTAACTTCTAACTAAATTATTATATTATAATCCCAGATAAAAATATTTTTGATGTCGAGTGTCTAGAAAATCAATGTAATCTAATTGATTAATTTGTTCATAACTAGTGTCATACTAGTTTGGTACTTTGTTTAAAGTAAACCCAATTTTATTATTTTAATTCATAAACTGATGCTTTGTATTGAACCCAGATATAAATTGAAGAGTATCGTAATACTAATACTAAATCTATTTTGTTGTAATTTTAATTAAAACATTATTTAAAAACTCAAATTTCTAAAACTAATAAAAAAAATTTTAATGACACGGGTGGACCTTCAAAAATATATACAGTTTTCAAAATTACAGAAGCTGTGGCACAGTTTGATTATACAGCTCAAGAGCCAGACGAATTGACTTTAAAAAAAGGTGATGTGATAACTGATGTAAAACCTTTACCCGATGGATGGATGGAAGGATATAAAGATGGGAAAAAGGGAATGTTTCCTGACAACTATGTTAAGGTAATTATATGTAAAAAACGTATTATTTGCAATCCTCTAAAATGTGTTATTAAAGATTCGCTATATCGTTTATAGATCATGCATGCGTCTAGTGGAGTTGTACTAAGAAAAAGTAAGCAACATAATTTATACTTATAGTACTTATAGTTATTTAAATGATTTATTTTCATAGAAAATCCTAGAAAATGTAAAGTGTTATTTAGCTACAAACCAGCAAATCGAGATGAGCTAGAACTTAATATTGATGATGTAATAGAAGTTTTTGGTGAAGTTGAAGAAGGTTGGTGGAAAGGACAGCTTAAAAATCAGGTATTTCCTTTAAATAATTAGAATCTGTTAATGAGAATATAATACTTTTCAGATAACAAAATATCTTTTTCACAAATTTCTTATTTTAATTTTTTTTGGCTCAATATTTTATGAATTTGGTATTGGTTAGTAACTATTTTTCAAATTTTACTTTTTAGCTGAAAGTACAATTTAAAAATTGGTATATTTAAACAATAATAATGTAGTTATTAAATGAAAATACAGGAAATCGATTTTGAAAAACGGTAAATGTTTTTATAATGTTTATATTCTTATTAATGTTATCTGAATATACTGAAATAATTATCTACATCAAAATTTTCTGTAGTTAAATTTACTAAAGATTATACAAGTCTGGAATATTAAAAACATGCGTGTATTAATTTTTAATTTAATATTGTTCCAGACAGGAGTTTTTCCTTCAAATTATGTGACTGAAATTACAGATGTTAAAAACATATCAAGAAGTGATTCAAAAACGTCAAATAGCTCGCTAAAAAAAGAAGAAAGCTTAAAAAAAGGTATTTTTATATTTAAATAGATTTACAATATTCTTATTACAATGAATTTATAATTAATTTGGTTATTTTAAAATATATGTAACTGATTGAACATTTCAGACACGTAAATATATAATAAATAGTTGAAATTGTTTTTAACAAGTTTATTTTTGTTATTATTTTAGATAAACCCGCTGAACCTATCAAAAGTTCTGATGAATTAAATGTACCTAATTTACCACCAAAGCCAGGTAAAACAATAATTTATTTAAACTTTAAAAGATTAGTTTGAATTTTAAGTAATAATTTTTAAATGTATATTATACTCCACTCCGCTATACAGGGTATATAAAAAGTAAGAAAACTTGTTGATTGTTACAAAAATGAAAACAAAAAAAAACCCGTTTACTTATTTACTGCATACCCTATAAATAAATGTACAATTAAAGTTTTAGTTTTATTTAAAAAAGTGGTGTATATATAATTTTATGTTAACCTGTCTGTTATACATTAGTTATCTTTCCAATCCACTTGATAAGTACTTATATTTATTTTTTTAGATAAAGCTATTCAAATACTTCTTACTTTATTCTCTGTTTAACGCACAATCTATGTTGATAACTAAATTTCCATATTATATTTTATGATGTTTCTTAAATAATTAAATTTCAACATATTTAGTTTACATAAGTTATAGAATAACAAGAAAATTTTTCATCATAATGATCAATTCTGCTAAAAAAAGATTATCTAACATGTTTAAGTGTAAGAGTTATTAATTATTTTACATAAGTTATTATTTTATTTATAAAAATATATTGTATAGAATAAAAAAAAAAATTTTATGTATCTGTCTTTGTAATTATTGTGACAGATTGAGATAATGTGCGTTTACATAATGTAACATATTGCAATGACNGACAGATTGAGATAATGTGCGTTTACATAATGTAACATATTGCAATGACAGCTATATATTTTTTACTCATCACTTTGACACTTTTTTTATATTGAGTTATACTCTCATATTTCATGTTTCTTTTTTTAATTTTCGCAAAAATGATTTTGTGGTCATTTTTTAGAAGCTAATATGTTCAATTCAGTCAGATTAAAAATTTCAATGATGTATACAAATCAATATTTTTGAAGTCTAAAAAACAAACCTCCTGTTAAAATTTACCCTAATTTTTTTATTTCTTGAAATTACACATATTTTCATTTTTGAACGTAAGTCACAAAATTCTTTGTCTATGTTTTATTTTATTCATGGTATAATAATTTTGAGGTTAATAGATATTTTTAATATTGACAATGCAAAAAAAAAATTTTGAAGGCATGTAACATATTTAATAACTCTTCTTTTTTTTTGTGAGACAGTTAATTATTCTAATTTTTTATTTTCTTAATATTAGCTAAAGAAGTATGTGTTTCTCTATTTCCTTATGAAGCTGTTAATAGTGATGAACTAACATTAGCTGAAGGTGATTTAATAACTATTTTATCACGAGAAGTAGAAGATAAAGGTTGGTGGAAAGGAGAATTAAAGGGGAAAATCGGAGTATTTCCAGACAACTTTGTACAGATTGTGAATCATGAAGAGGTAATATTAAAGAGAGAGACTTTTCCATCATATTTGACATTTTCATATGTTACTTTTTTTTTAAAAAAATAGGTAGCCAATAAATTGGAAAAATCATCTAGCAGTCCTCGTAGTGGTACAACAGCATCATTACGTAAATTTATGCAAAGTCAAATGGAAAAATCTATAGCTCCTGTTGTTAGTAAAAAACCAGTATTGCCACCTCCTCCTCCTACAACTAAGAAACCACCAACTACAAAAAGTTCATCAACTTCCTCTATTTCGAAAACTATAAGTGGTCTTAAATCTTTGTTAAATGCTGAACAAAACTCTGATAAATCAAAATCAAATACATCTGACCATGATGAAAATAAACAATATGGTTCTATTGCAGTAAAACGTTCTGAATCTGTTGGTTCTATGAAAAAAACTCCAGATTCTATAGATGGTAGTTGTATGAGTAAATCAACTTATAATGTAACTCCTACGTCTGTACCAGAATCTCCTTCATCTTTTATCATCTCAAATGTAATATTTATTTGTTAATACTTTCAATATTAAATAACAAATTAATCATTTTTTTGTATTTTTTATAGCATGATAATAGTAGTGGTGAACCTAAAAGTCCTGATTTTGACCAGATTGAAAGAACTGCCATGCTTAGTCACCCAACAGCATCTCGAGCTAAAGCACCTCGTAGAAGACCACCATCAGCTGCTTTTAGTCTTCCTAGTGAAGATGATCCTACTGTAGATCCACCTCCAGTTAATGGTATACCTGGCGTAGACAAAGAAAAAGCCCCTTGGGTCCAAGAGCTTAAAATGAATCAGGCTAAAAAAACTTCTGCTAATTCTGTGACTGGTACGTAAATGATTTCAAATCATTGAAAATACTTTTATTTAAAAGTTATAAATTGTTAGGAGGTACCAGAACTAGAGTTATGATTAGTCCGTCCACTACAACAATAACATCTGAAAGTTCAGATACCACTACAGTCACATCTAAAGCAGGGTTAACATCTGTTGGAATAGGAGGAGTAGTTTTCAAACCCCCTGGTTATATACCACCATTAACTACACCTGAACCAGTAACAGTCAGCACGCCAGCTAGTCCAGTTACATTGGCCCCAACAGAACTCAATTCTTCTACACCATCTGTTGAAAGAAGTCTAATAGCTGTCTTAAATGAAAAAGTAATTTTTAGTTTAATAAAATTTAATAATTGTTATTTATTTTTCCATTAATTTTAGGTTAAGCAACTTGAGTCAACAGTACAACAACAAAGCCATCTTCTTGATAAGTTATCAGCTAAATTAGATGTTGAAATTGAAAAACGTATATTTATAGAAAAAGAAATGAAAAAAGTCATGGAACTTGTGACACGAGTATAACATGGCTAGTGTTAAATTATACTGTAATATGGAAAGAAAATCAAACCATTACTATTATTTAAATTTTAAAATAATGTCTTGAGTCATTGTTTTAATTTTGCCATTCCAATTATAACTATATTATAGTTCTATGTTTACATAAAACCTTGAGTTTGCGATTTTTCTACAGACTATTAAGTTAGAATAATTTGAAGTTTCAACAAGTTCTTTAATTTTTATACTTATTTTTTCTATTAACGACCAAATCTGTATTATTAACTATTTATTTTTGATATACTCTAGTCTTCAATTTTCAATTATCTTTTCTATTATACTATTCAAGTACTGCAAATCCATTCCTTGTTATTTTTGTGTGTATTATATGTTTTCTCATCTACAAATTGTGATAAATAACTGTGGTGGGTGTAACAGCACTTAGTGCACATCTTTATTTATAATTTTCAATCAATGTTAAAATTGATTTTTTACCTAATTAAAATGACAACTTTTGTATTTTTTCCATTGAATGAATTATTTTGGTTTTTGATGTAAACACAATTATTTTTTCAATCAAAATTAGTGATAAAACATCTAATTAATAATTTAGCTAACTAGCTGTAATATATTAATTATCGAAAATAATTAAATATATTGTACTCTGTTCTATGTATAACTAAATTTAAAAGGAATTTTAGTATCAATTTATAATATTATATATTATGTACTTAATTATTAAATATTTTATAAATCTATACTTAATAGATTACTCGTCATTGATTTTTGTTGTAATGTTATAGTAATAATTCAGATTTTAAATACCATTTAGTATTTTTATAAACCACATAAATATATACTTGCAATTTATTTATTATTTTTTGGTATACATTAATATAGTAGTAAACATTTTTACACTTATTTAATTTAAAAATTCTTTCACTCTCAAATTGTGTAAGTCAAATTAGATTTTAATTTCTTATCCCAAATTATGTTATATGTAATATTATCACTAAAATATGTTTTGGAGTTCAAAGAATTCCAAGATGTTTACAAAAGTTTAAAAAATTATAGACTAAACTATTTTTTTATTGTTTTTTATTTTTACTTTTTTTTTATATGTTTTATAGAATAATTATTATTTTTTTGTATACAGAATAATGTACTTACAAATAAATTGTTATCTATTTTAATACAAAATTTTGGCAAATTGACTGATATTGCATAGCCTATTATTATAATACAGACTATTTTATGTATAAATTGAGGTGTCTTGGTTTAACATCAATATTATAATTGAGTTTTTATCTTTTTGTATTCCAATAATATTCATTCTCTATTTATGAAAAACACTATTCAATCATTATTATTTTATATTTTTATGAATGTATTTTTTATACAATTATTTTAATGATAAAATTTTATATGTAATTTTCAATGGCAGCCATTTTAACATACCAAGAAACAGTCTACTTTATTTTATTGTACCATTGTTTAAAATAATTATATTATATAAAGATAAAAAATTGTTTGAATATTATTGTAAGTTGTCCAGTGGTGTCATATATTTTATAATTTGTTAATTATTATTTTTAATTAAATCATTTAAAAAATCAATTAAGTTCTTTTTTATCATCTTTTAAGATTTCAGTGGAATTATTTTTAAGCTGATAAAATTTTTAGTTTAACATCAAAATACTAAGAAAATATAATAACTACATTTATGTTATTAGTAACTAATGTGATGAGAAACTAGATAAGAATAAATATAGTTTAAAAGACTAAAAAAACACGTTTTTAAAGCACATCGAACTAAAAAGTTAAAAATAATTTTTTAACGGCTACCACATCCAAGGAAAGCAGCAGGCGCGTAAATTACTTACTCCCGGAACGTGGAGGTAGTGACGAAAAATGACGATACGGAAATCATCCGTCGTAATCCGAATGAATACTTTATATCTCTTAATTAGAATAAATCGTGTTAATACATTAATTTTATTAGCAATTAGAATATATATATACAAATAATGCGACTTAAGTACGTAAACGTATCATGCACTAGGTATAGCTGTGTTTTGTGGGCGAGCGTGTCGGACTAACGTTATACCTGAGGTATAAACGGCAGTAGGAATATATACGTAAGCCGTATGGTACGCGGATAGTATTGGTCAGTCAAAATAAAAATTTGTTTATATATATATAATATTGATGACAAGCACACGGGTACGATAACCAAAAATAAATTTATACAGAGGAATAGTGTTGCCGTCGTGTGATGAGCGAGGCGTGGGGTGGGGTGAATGCGTTATGACAGTCTAGTCTAGACGACGGAATATGCGATAACGCGTGGCGTTTGGAGAGTTACATACATACATACATA